AAAAAAAAAAAAAAAAAAAAAAAAAAAAAAAAAAAAAAAAAAAATATATAAATAAAAAAAATATATAAATTTTATTATATATTTAGGGTTTAGGGTTTAGGGTTTAGGGTTTAGGGTTTAGAGGGCTTGTTATATCGATATATACACAGTTGGTATACAGGCTCTCGCGAGGGTTTGAACGCAGCTCTAAACCCTCTTTACCCTATTTTCTAGGGTTTAGGGTTTAGGGTTTAGGGTTTAGGGTTTAGGGTTTAGCGAGACTAGGATGTCTCCACAGACAAAAGAACTAACATATTAAAATATATTTCAAAACATTTTGTCTTCTTCTGTCCCCAAACCCTAAACCCTCAAACCCTAAACCCTCAAACCCTAAACCCTCAAACCCTAAACCCTTGTCTACTGACAACTCAAACGCAAACCACAGATAGTGTAAGGAGGGGAGCTTTGTACCTGAACCCAAACCCTAAACCCTAAACCCTAATCTCTTTGCCTGTCACTAGGGTTTAGGGTTTAGGCGTGTAGCTTATAGTTTAGGGTTTATTAGGGTTTGGAGTTTAGGGTTTAGGGTTTAGGTGTAGGGCACCCCCTGGGAGAAGAGTGCTTGAAAGACACGCCACTAGGGTTTAGGGTTTAGGGTTTAGGGTTTAGAGTATGCACGGGGACAACAAGGGTGCTTGAAAGTTTTGCTAGGGTTTAGGGTTTAGGGTTTAGGGTTTGGGTCGCGGCGAGACGAGAGGGTTAGACTTCGCGGTGCTCTAAACCCTAAACCACCTAAACCCTAAACCTCCTAAACATCTTTAACCCTAAACCCCCTTAACCCCTCAAACCCTAAACCCCCAAACCCTAAACCCTAAACCCCCAAACCCTGAACATGAGCAGACCCTAGGCCACTAAAACCCTAAACCACCGTGACCCCACAAACCCTCGGCTTCCTCAAACCCTCAAACCCTAAACCACCGAAAAGATTAAAACCCTAAAACCCCTTAAACCCTCAAACCCTAGTGCACCGTAAACCCTAAACCCTAAACCCTGAAATCGCTGCACGTGTAATCCGAGCCCTGCTGGAGGTGTTTTTGGGGTGTACAGAGAGAAATAAAAAAAAATAAAATGAAATAAAGAATAAATAAAAATAAAAAAATAAATTTATTTTTATTTTTATTTATTTTTTATGCATATTGTTGTTGTTTAGGGTTTAGGATACAGACACTGCAGCGGGTGACAAAACCCCCGAGGTCGAGACGCGGCGAGCTAGGGTTTAGGGTTTAGGGTTTAGGGTTTAGGGTTTAGGGTTTATATTTTTTTTATATGAAATATTAATTTTTATTTTTTCTTTTTGATGCGTTTAGGGTTTAGGGTTTGCGTCGTCGCGGCCTCACCAGCAACAACTGCGACCTCGCCGCACCGAGCACCAAACCCTAAACCCTAAACCCTAAACCCTAACCCTAAACCCTAAACCCTCGATCGCAGTCTACATCATTAACCCTTCATTTCCACTGATTACACCTTTCTCAGTTTTGTGTCTCAACACTTATATTTCAAACCCTAAACCCTAAACCCTAAACCCTAAACCCTCAGGGGGGTCTCTGCTGCCGGTCTCCTTCGATGCACGAGACCAAGCAGCAGCAACTCAAACCCTAAACCCTAAACCCTAAACCCTAAACCCTAATGTTTCAGGCTTTAAACAACACCGCCGGAGCCCGGCGTCTGAGGCACCTCTTTCTGCTGCTGCTGCTGCTGATCGCCGTCTCCTTCTTGCCTGTATGCTGCTGTTGCTGCTGCTGCTGCTGCTGCTGCTGCTGCTGCTGTTGCTGCTGCTGCTGCTAGTGTTGCTTCTGTTGGTGTTCCTGCTGCTGCTGCTGCTGCTCTTGCTGCTGTTTCTGTTGCTGTTGCTGCTGTTGATGCTGCTGCTGCTCGGGTTGCTGTTGCTGCTGCTGTTGCTGCTGCTGCTGCTGTTGTTGCTGCTATTGCTGCTGCTGTTGCTGCTGCTGCTGCTGCTATTCCACTTGCTGCTGCTGCTGCTGCTGATCCTGTTGCTGCAGTTGCTGCTGCTGCTGATGCTGCACTTGGGCTTAGGGATGCTGCGAACAAAGCGTAGCAATCCGTCGGGGGTTTAGGGTTTAGGGTTTAGGGTTTAGGGTTTAGGGTTTGTGTGTGTTTGTTGCCCTGCAGACAAAACCATGCGAAGGTGTGTCGTCTTGCGTAAACCCTAAACCCTAAACCCTAAACCCTAAACCCTAAACATTTGTGTTTCAGTTGGTTCTTTGCCTGAGTTTAATCTATCGACTCACTTTGGCCACAGCAACATCCCAAACC